CTGGAAACACTATCCTCCCGTGGAATTAGAAGAAGCAGTAAAGACATGTTTGTCACTTTCTCACTAATAAGCAAACAATATGGGTGGTAGTAGTTTAAAAAACATGAGGGTTAAGGCAGAGAGAATAGCAGAGTCGAAAAGATGGGCATGAAATATGGTGTTCTTTGTTCTCTTCACTACATCCCCGATGCTCTTGAAAGCTCGACAAGCCGATCGCCTTCTCCTGCTCAATCTGCAGCTAAGTTGGAAGTCATGTTGACGTCTCGAACTAGGTAGTAGACGTTGTTGGAGCATTCGGAGATGATCGTACTGTTGAGCATGGATGGGACATACGAAACCAATCCGTTAATCATGAATATCGCTTTTATGAGCTTTAGTCGAAGAACAGTGTTTCAGCGGGCTTTCTCAAAGTCGGCAAGCATTCGTTCTGCTTCGCTAATGTTTGGTATTATAAGAACGATGTCAGCAGCAAATCGAAGATGTTGTAATTGCCGTCCATCGATTTTCGGCCTTATGTTATCCCACTCTGATGTTCGGAAGACGTTCTGGAGGGTTGTTATAAATAATTTTGGCAAGATGGCATTGCCTTGTTACCGTAGTTGCCGACATCGTGGAGCTCACTCTTCCTGAACAGTTAACAGCTTTGTTGGTCTTCCATTGAAGAGGAACGTTGCATTCTAGTAGGTAACGTGTGAACAGCAAGGCAGTGTGTTTATGAAGACTGGCCAAAGGCTCATCAGGCATTCAAACGTTATCCTGTCCTGACCTGAAGTACTTCAACTCTTAGCTGACAAAATAGCATGTCGAATTTCACAAGGGAGAACCGGTGGTACAACATATCCGTACTCCGTTATTTCATATGAAGGCAGGAAGACGTGGCTATTGAAGAGATCCGAATAGTCATTTTCAGTGATTTTCTTCATTGCTTTTTGGAATCTGTAACTGTTCTGCCTGAGCGTCAGGTGCTTTTCGAATGCTTTTGGAAGCATCTGCAAAATCGACTATAACTGCTCTTCTTCCCTCTTTAAGATCTTGTTTTCCAAGTTCACACGAGAGTTGTCGGTTGCCTGTTGTCCGTGCGATCCAAGGTTCGTGTAACTGCTCGAGTGTTTCCTGAATCAAACGTCTCTCGATAACCTTCGAAGTCTCAGCTTTCATAGCGCTAACGTGAAGATGTTGAATCAGTCGATCGTATTCCTCGTCGATGTTATCGACAACGACATGTTCCCAATAGCCGACTAATGAATTGAATAAATCCCAGTTTACGGTGGTTTTCGCCCGTCGTTTTTTTTTAGTCTAACCGGCTTTTCTTTTTTCCTGGAGAAATAAGATATTGCACGAAGGAGGCGATGCTCTTATTCCGCCTAGAATTTTGGGACAACGGTGACATCGGTTAGGAGGAACCTTCTATTTACCATGATCCGGCATTTTATTATTGCACTCTCCACTGGCACACTCTCACATTCAGTGTTGAGAGTTGAGTTTCTGGGATTGCGAATTATCATCTATGGCCTTCTCCATTATGAAAACTCAGATATCTTCCCAACTAACTCGTCACATTTCAATCTGTGGTTTTTAATGTGGCGCTCCACGACGTTCTTCTGGGGTGCAGTCTTAGTTTTAAAATTTCCAGTAATGACCTTTAAGGCAGCAACGTCTTCTCTACAAAACTCCTCTAAGTCTATGCAGAACGCTTGGACTTCGTCTTCATAACAGTTTGACAACGGTGCGTAGACGACGAAGATTGTCAAAACCAGTATTAATCCATAACTCTGCAACCATAAACGTCTAATTCGAGTCGACAGCTCTTAGAACGTAAGTCCTCGGAAAGTGTAATTGTGAGTTCGAATCTGGTCTGCATCTGAGTTTTAAAAATATCTCTGCATCATTATAGTTATACGAATAAAATATGTAGCGCGTGTACCGTAATGGTTCGAGGTTATGTTGAAACACATGGTTCCATCTCATACGTCACGTCAAGTAAGTCTTCCATACCTCCACAATCGATGAACAGGTACGATCGACATGTCTGGAAAGGTGAAAATATGAACTTAAAATATCGGTGGACCATGAAGAAGTAATTTTATAGGTCAAATATGCACTTAGTCACTTCTGATATTCCAGGCATACCCTGGAATGCGTGGTTAATCCCTAGGCAACTGATCAATGTGATACGTTTCCCGTTTTTTTAATCCTTTCTGACTGAAGTTAAAAAAGGATAAAGGGTAAAGCTCGCGGCGTTAATCCATCCGTAAAAAAATGATGCACCATGCATTCGACTTCATCAAGCATCGTTGGAGGTGATTGAATGCATATCTGGGCTCTAAAATAACTCGCGGTGGTCCACCGGTGTATAGAGCCAGTGCTGTTATCCTTCCAGACAAGTCTGGTACCAATACGCCGACTCCTGAGGGGTGGAGGGCTTGGTGTGTCACGCGAGCGGGGATCGACCCCATGTCTGTTGCAGAGCACTTTCTACCAATTGCCTTCTACCAATGCTCTACACGCACTATGAATGAAGTTAGAGCACATAGAACCAATTGCCAAGAAATTTTTTAAGTTGGGAGTAGATTTTCAAAGAAAACAGTGAGCTGATGGTTCCGGTTTCATGATATACTTACACGGGGTTGTTACTCCTGAGCTAATTTCCGTATAATAGGGCAATTGTTGAAAATAAATCAAATAGAAATCGATAATGTGAGTTGAGCGGCACGTTTCATATGTCCCACTCAAGAAGAAGTGTTCCTATCCTGCTTCTGATTCCTTTATTGTTCCATTTTTTCCATTAAACTCTGTGTTTTTGATCTTTCCACTTACCAGACCAATTAAGGATTCTTCTGACTAGAGAACGGGTTTGTCTTCTGGTAAAACCATTCCGGCTTCACCAACTCTCATTTGATAGGATTAACTTACTGGTTAGTGAAGGTCCTCTTTCTGTGAAGTCGTGCTAGGGCTTTCTCAAGCGTCATCACTGCATTCAGTAGTTGATCGTCATGAATTGGAATGAGATTTGACAGCGTCAACTAAGTTCTCTACACGACTACGGTAATTCCTAGCATTGGCAGCTCAAGATGAATTTCCGGATGAAAATATTGCATTCCTTCTTAGTTTAACAGATGGAAGATGATCATACGGAAACACCTCTATGAATTGCTGATTTGCTTATCGCCCAGTCAAACACACCAATATCTAACAGTCCTTAAGAAATATTTGTTTTTCGAATACATCAAAAATCTCCAAAAGCGAGTTTTCTGTGAATGTTACTGCCCTGACGAAAACCCAAGTGTTCATGGCTTACATAATTTCATACAACACTTACTGTATTGATAACTCGAAAGACCGACTTTCTATAAACCTCAGCATAGATAGTTGATATATTTATTTATGTGATCTTATAAACTGATCTTAAGCTGACGCGAGGTTGGTACAGGTCTTCGTTGTCGTTGTCGTCGTTTTTGATGTTGTTGGTTGATGGTTGATGGTTGACGTTTCGGCGACTTCTCCTTCCTCAGAGCCGTGATGTTACATGTGGGACTGGAAACGCCGAAACGTCAGCCATCGACCAACAACATCAAAAACAACTACAACGACAACGAAGACCTGTGCCAACTTCGCGTCAGCTTAAGAAGATCAGTTTATAAGACCATGTAAATGAATATATCAACTTACTGTATTACTTAAACGTCGCAACTACGGTCACATTCCCATGCGGAACGTTTTTGAATCCTCAAGGTGATTCATGTTCCTTGTGAAGTCGATTCTGTATCCTTCGATTTGTGTTTCAGGATATATGCCACGGATTCGTATTCGAAGTACAGATGAGCTAATAAATTCAACCCCACTTGAGAGATTTGCTCGTTTTATAAATGGTGGCGAAAGATGGACTCATCATCATCTAACAGTATTTGTTTTGACGTTTTTCAGGTTCATTTTTTCCTCGTCTGCTTCTGCTCTTTTTTCATTTTAATTCATCTGGAGGGTGCTGTAGCGCAGTGGTTAGAGGCGCTCTGCAATACGCATGGGATCGATCTCATCGCCCCAGACCTACCAAGCTTTCCATCCCTCCGACGTCGGTAAACTGGTACCAGACTTGTCTCGGTGGATAGAAGTACTAAATCGATATATTAGTAGGCCACCGCGAGTCTTCCTTTGGCCATCGGCCACTTTGTGAAGGCCAGATATACATTCGATCACCTCCAGCGGTGCTCAGTGAAGTCGAATGAATGCCGCAATACCTTAGGGGTTGATCAATGCCGAGGGCTTAATCTTTTTTTTATCCTTTAACTAACATATCTGCTGTGTCGCCGCTAGTTGGTGGCTTCATCTTCTTTTGGTCATGTTTTAGTACTCTTTGTTTTCTTGCAGCTTTGCGTTCATTCACGCAGCTAGGAAAACTCTTTCTACTGTCAAGCCATCACTGATCGCCACATGGACTCATGGGAGTACCACCGTGTAAGTTAACAATTCTGCTTTTCTTATGATTTTCTTATAGCGTCGTGATATCACTTTACAAGAGGATGTATAGATAAGAAGGAATCTTTCTTGAAGACTATAGAGGTTTTTAATCAGAAATATTGTTACAATACAGGAATTTGGTTAACCATTTCAAGTAGTTAGAACTACTACTTTTTGTTGCGTCTTTAAACACTTCGATACTTGGATGGCCCGTCCTCACTGCTTGGTGGCAGGCCCCAGCATAACTTCCATGTTTTCGGAGTTTTGCCGGCTCAGCCATCGTACTTCACAGGAGTCCCGAAGTCAGCGTGGCCAAGGTCTGACCCAGGTCGTCACCACCACAGGTAGTTGTCGCCGCCCTTGTAGATCATAGGGAGATTTGCCACCATGCGACTAGTTTCATACCAGAATGGTGGTGGATCCTGTGTCATTAAATGAAACAGTGGAATTAAGCGGTCAAGCTTTGAAGGAACTCTATTTGAATTAACTTTGTCAGAATGCTAATTGTAGATCTCAATCGTCTATGACTATAACAGCATTCCAGTATGGCATCGCTACCCATTTCGGATTTCTGTTATTTCAGACCACCACTATTTCCCTCTGAACAGTCAGCTTCGGAATTTCTAGCTGTGTTGGATGGTGGCTTTCTCCTGGCCTATTCATTTGTGAGTCGTGCGTCAAAATTCATATCTCTATTCCAGAATGTCTCTATCTTTTTCTTCTTTTCCTTGTTTCTTATTTCCTTTATCTTTTTTGCCTCATGGAGCAGAAAATTCGTCAGGATTTAAGCTGACGTCTAAAGCTGAGTAGTGAATTTCTTCTTGAAGGGTCTGTTTGGAGGTGGTATGCTAGGAGATCGTTATAATCCTCGTGTTGTTTTATCTGTTGGGATGTGGCTTTCAGCAATTGCGGTAAGTTCTACGTCAATCTGAATACCATCCGATCTCAATTTACAATATTCTCCTTTCCAAAGCCTTCTCAAAAGTTTGGTCCAAGATTTTATGTTAACTTGAGTTTTAGGTTTTCTTGTTCGGTTACGCTACCGAATATTTTCATCTTTACTCGAAAACTCTCTATGCTTTTTTGTGGATATCGGGTGGACTTTTCCAATCTGTTGGTTGGCCAACTGAGGTTTGGTCTTTATGTCTGTCTCTTGTTTTTTCACTATTATTTTTTGCTTTTATTGCTGCAATTCACCTGGGATCGATCACCTCTCCAAAGGCTCACCAAGCCCTCCATCCCAGCCAGGTCGGCAAATTAGCACCAAACTTGTCTGAGAGGATAGCAGCATTGGATCGGGACATCGATAGACGACGTCGGGTCATTATAAAGACTAGATATGCATTTAATCACCTCTAATGCTTAATGGAGTCGAATGCAGGGCGCATCCCTCACAACATCGAGAACTATCTTTTTTATCCTTCTGTTACTGCTTTATAGGTAGCTAGTTAATCACGGGTATGATAGTGTTCTTAGGTGGATTTGATTTCTCTTTTCCGTTCCAATAACTTACACAGGATACTATTCGCGTTTGCGTCTATATATGTGCTTACTTACATGAGGACTTTCTTTGTACGTGAATTTGACCAAAAGCGTGCTATTGGGGAATGTATGGGAGAGAGGCAGGATGTGGGTTGCTTTTAACGAATAAGATCTCTTTGATAAAGCTCGGCAAGCTACTGCATGAATACAAAATGCATCGAGACCTCTTGGGCAACTGAGCAGTACGATGGAAAATAAAGCGTGAAGCTCTCGATGTTGATCATTTCCTAAGGGATGCGCCATGAATTCGACTTCATTAAGCGTCGTTAGAGGTTATTGAGTGCATCTGGCCTCTGCAATCACTTGCGGTGGCCTGCCTTTGTATCGAATCAGTGCTACTATCCTTCCGGAGAATTTTGGTACCAATTTGCCGATCCTGGATGGATGGATGGCTTGGCGAACTTAGGGTGTGGAATCGATCCTATGTGTATTGCAGTGAGCCTCTAACCACTGCGTTACATTAGCCCTTCAGCAGTCCGATAGAGACAAGTAAAGGTTCATCGTTCGCTTAGTGAAATTGCAGACAATGCGAGTGATTTTTGTGGTTGTATTGCAATGTTCATTTTACAGTGCAGTAGTGTTTCACAATTCCAGATCTGTATAGTAGGTAACTGGTTTGGAACCAGCTCTCGTGGCGCTGTAATGGGGTTATGGTCAGCTTGTGCAAGTGTAGGAAATATCATCGGCACTGTGATATCATCAAAGCTTGTTCTTATGGGATATCAGGTATTCGTGGTGCTCCTTCTCTAGTATGGCATTTATGAATAAGCATTTTATTGCTTTCTTTCGATGATAATTATGTAATTTTAGTACGCGTTTGCGGCAAACTCTTTGTTGCTCTTCATGTTTGGTTTCATTGTCCATTTCAACCTAAAGTCTGCTCCAAGAGAAGTCGGTCAGCACTTGAATACTTTTAATACAGAATTTTTTTTAAGCTTTTTGTATTGTCCAAATTGTATTGGCTACTACCGCACAATGCCGCCTAATGGTGTTAAGGAATTGTTTTTGGGTGTAGCGATGTATTTAGATGTAGAAAATGTAGAGGAGTAAAGGATGTACATGCTTACAATAGGTCTATCCAGGTAGAAGATTTCGACATTTCAATCCGATATCCCACTTATGAGCGAATTATTTGCTAGTTGTTGCCGCCATAGAAATAACCTAGTTAAAAGTTCGCGAACCTTCGTTAAACTGGAAGGATCCTTCGTGGTGACGATAATGGAGCTCACTGGAAGGGATTTTTTAGGACTTATAGGAAGAAGAATTCCCACCACGACAACGTTTTGAATTGATTATTCTAGAGTCCACGTCATTCCTCCTGAAGGACTGTTCAAGTATCTAATAATTGAATTTCTTCACATTTCTTATTTAGGTCTACCCGATCCTATTGAGTCACCTGATGAGTTGGTACGGGTGATAGAAGAACCTACCCAACGCCCGCAGCCTATCAGTTTTACGCGGGCTTGTCTTCTTCCTGGTGTATTAGCAGTGAGTTCACTTTGCCTCCGGTCTTAATAAATGACTTTCATATTTTCAAAATAAACAACTGTTGAGTATTATAAAAAATTTAGGCAAATTCTATTAGTTTTCAGTCTCACATAGCCTTTTTTTACTCTTTTTGTTCTGGTTTTGATTCAGTACAGCTTGCTCTTTGAACAGTCGGAGCTAAAAGTTAACACAGGAACAACTTGCGAAGTACATTGACAACGCCCATTTCAGTATTCACTGGCTTATGCTTGTTTGAAACTTGTTAACTACGGTTTCTTCTTTTGGCTCCCGTTCTATCTGCATTCACATTTTCGCTGGGCTGAAGCTGATGCCGACAAGCTCTCAGCTTGGTACGATGTTGGAGGGATTGTCGCAGCTATACTTGCTGGAGCTGCTTCTGTGAGAACTTCATTTTCTTCTTCAATAAGTCTTCCATTGTTGTTTGCTTGTATTTTGTTTTAGGACCATTTTCCTTCTCGAACTCCCATCATTGTTGCCATGTTAGTTTGCTCCACCTTTGCACTGTGGATCTATTCAGGCCTCTTTTATAAATTTTTTATCTAGTTTTATCATCCCGCACTTTTTCATTTTCATTGATTTTAGAATCTACTCCATCTTACGTTATTAATGGGCTTTTGCTTGCTATAATTGGTTTCTTCATTGGTGGACCGGCGAACATGATTTCCAGCTCGGTTTCTGCCGATCTAGGTATTATTCAACTTGCCTTTATACCTGAGCTTTCAGTTACTCATTGATTTGGGAAGGCAGCATTTGAATATTAGTTGATTCCTGTTTGGTGTTAATGGCTATCGCAAAGTAGATGTAACCCATCTTTGTTGAAAATAAGAGTGGACTCCTCTGTGCAATGCATCCCTTTGTTCACTTGCATAAGCATGAGACAATTACTTGGTCAAATTTATCTTGTATTTGATCTTTTTCCGTTGTCTGGAATGCGCTTACATATCCCTATGAGAATCAGTGTTGGATACATAAACTGAGAGAGGTACCTAGACTTATCCTATACTTCGGTCAAATCAAAATTTCAAGTAGTTCTTTGAAAATATGCAAGTATTAGTCAGTGTTAAGGGAAATCCAGAGAACTACGAGGAAATACCGAAGCCCTTTCTACAGTCACTGGTATTGTAGACGGTGAGTTACTTTTAATCGCTTTCGAATCATATCCGCATGTTTTCTCTTTGTGTTTCTTTTTACCATTTTCCTTTGGAAAGTATACGATTCTAGTACGAGTACTAAGTAGAACAAAATCAAAAGAGCCTATTACTATGTTACTAAAGCATATGGTTTTTAGTGAACCTAAAGGGTGTAGTCGTGAGGAAAGTAATTTATTGACTTGAAAGGTTTGAATATAACTGCCGCTTAGTAACAATCTCAGAGTCCTTTATTTTATCTCCAGGAACCGGAAGCTTCGGTGCTGCTCTTGGTCAGCTTCTAATTCCGTCAGTTCAAGCCATTTTTGGTTGGGGGGCTGTCTTTTATGGGTTTATAGCGATGGTAAATATTACATTCGTTTGTGTTTATTTACACATTTTCATTGTTTGTTAGAGTACAACACTTGGGTCTCAGATCGTTTGCACTGCGGCCTGCTTGGTTCCATTGCTATATCGCGAGATTCTGTTGAGACGAAGGAACACATACACGAGTCTAAGTTCTGATTCGGAAGACGAGAGCGAAGATGTTATATTTGCAGAAGATGAAGGCGTAAGGCGTAGGGTTGTTGCTGGAGACGATGCGGAGTAAATATTACCAAATATAACTATTCTACAACACTGGTAGTTCCTTCCGGGGCGTTTTGAAGGTCGTGTAGCCAATAGTCACTATAGAGGAACATTTCCATTGCTTTATGAACTAGCCTCTTTCATATACGCGGCTTTCCGAATATTATGCTGTCAGTGATTACCACCTTATGCATGTTGTCAAAACTGGTAAAGCTTTGTGATCGTGATATACCATGGTTTCTCTGATTTGGAGCAATAAAGCTTCGTGATATACCATGGTTTCTCTGATTTGGAGCAATAAAGCTTTCTCGCTTATGATAAGAGATTCCAGTTATCTTCGAAACTGCTTCTATCATAGCACAGTATAGCCTTCGCAGATCTAAGATCAACATATCTGTTGATTTTTTACCTGAGACATACGAGTGACCAATAGTACTGAAGGTCTGATAGTTCCCAGGATCGACTTTCTCTTAACCTCGGCATTGGAATATGAATGTGTCGTTTTCTTGTTCAGCAATCGCGAGGTTTTTAAACAGCATACATTTACTTCCATAAAAAACACAATACAATACAACGCTAGCTGACGTTTCGGCAGTATCGCCTTCTTCAGAGCCTGGAAGGGTATACTGATATACAATCTACTAGGCCAAACGCTTAGCATAGCATGCAACCTTTATGAGCTTCAAGATCGACTCCGCTATCAGGCCAAGCAAGAAACATCAAATAGAGATAAAA